CGCAATTGTAAAAGGTGGCTTGATAGGGTATATTGCAAATCATGAAAATAGACATGAACAGACGACAAGGAAGGGGAGCTGTGGCGTCCATTTCCGAAGCCACACATGTGGAAAAAATCCCCTCTAATGAAAAATACCTAAGTATTCGAAAAACCAGAACAGCAAGGATTAATGGAAAATGTGCAGAGCGGAATCAGAATGAGAAAATTTGTTTGAAAAATGCAAAGTAAGAATGAAGAAGAGAATGCTGCGACGATGAATTTTAAAACTTTGCTCAACTCATTTCATTTCATTTCTCTTCTCTTAGAAGCCGGAAGTTGTAAAACGAAATATAAACGAAAATAAATATTGTGAATAGCCGAAGAGGAACTCACAATCTCGACAAGACTAAGACTCTTGCTCAGCACATCGGAAAGAGAATCTTCTAAATAGCTAATCAAAAGCCGTGGAGCATATCCAACACGATAAAGATCACAGAACTGCTCCAACATTGACACAATCGCTTCCGATGGTGAGAATACCTCACCCCATCCTTCATTTGACGCTACCTGAAGAAATTGACGATTGGCAAAAAGCTGGCAAAACAAGTAAATGAACAGGGAAACATAAATGTAGACGTACTTGAACACTCCATGTATGGGTATCGGCCAGAATTATTACGTTATCGGGAAGCTGAATCGTCTCGCAGACGGACGACGAGGACATCGACGACGACAGCGACGTAGCTGCCGCACGATGACAAGCTGTGTCTTCGCAACGAACATCATCGATCATTCTGAAATAAACATTTTTCTTTACCGGCTACAATCCACATAACTTTTGATCCAATGCATTGAATATGATTGAAGGAACAAGGCAAATGCAATCTTTAAATCAGCCCATCACACATCGATAACCAACTCATGAACGCTCGAAAATATTCAAATGCAAGGATAAATATTATTCACTACATCTTAGCACCTTTCAAAAATCTTGAGCCATTCATTTCTTCAGATTTGCTCCAAGGTGTTCTCTAAAAAATGTCACACATGACTCACTTTGCAAACGCCTCATTGACTTGACCAGGGCCTCCGACGAGACCGGAAAGAACGAAGTGTGACGAATAGTCTGATGACGGGCCCGCGAGCAACGAACGACCAAGTCCGTCTGCTGGCGTCATTGTAGCAAAGATATCGTTTGTCGCGGACGTCGACGTACAACGTTCACGATGACCACGACTGCCAAGCACTGATGGCAGCGATTCCAAAGAACAGGATGACAACGCATCTTCATCCACTGAAAACGTTCGCGTTAAAGGTAACACCGCGGCCATTCAGAACACATATAAGCAAAAATTAAAGCTGAAGCAGGCTAAAGTTGTGCCATATTCTGATGCATTCTTATTTTCCAGAAACATGTCGCGTTACCGAACGGTCATGGCTGTGGCTCGTTTTCGTTCTATGAGAATCCTAGAATAGGAAGAAAAAAAGTGGCACTCTGCCAGATGTATTTTTTTATCTACGAGTGTCATATACATCTACACCAAAGAAAACTGAGAACTCATGTTCTAATTTGTTCATAGCTTTCATTGACGTTACGCGTTCTGAATATCAACTTCATCAGAAAAATCAAACAGCCCGTAAGTAGAAGCGTCTCCCAACAGCACTCCATAGCAAAGGAACCCAACTGAGCCGCTCGAGTCCGAAAGAACAAGTGGCAGATTCAAATGTAAAGCATAATAAAGGAATGCACTCAGCTAACGTACTTAAATGGACGGCATGCACGGTCGCTTCAGAAAGAGTAACCAAAGTATCTAGGACGGCTTCAGGTGTTCATGGAACAATGTAAGCGGTAGCACACTGATTCTCCTACCCGAAGAAGTGCTTGGAAGGGATAAAATGGGTGAAACTACCAG